TTTTGCATAAGACACGTAGATTACACGAAGCTGTGGTTAAAGCAGCCACAAAAAATGCCACTGTGAAGCGTACGGAAGAGGAGAGGCTTTTGTTGCGGTAAAAACCGTGGCCAGAGCAGGGCTGGGAAGTTCACATCGTGGGCCAGGGTTTCGACCGAGGCCAACGTTACAATCGGGAACCGTTGATGCTGCACAGACGCGAGTGTGCTCGGTGCAACGCTTGTGTCGATTATATACGGAACACATCAATGCACGCTGATGAGCACCGACATATGCCGAGAGAGACTGATATAAACTGCAGCACACTTCACTGCACAGAGCTACAAGGAGGCATGCCGATGAATATTGAGAAATATTACGAAACGCTGAGAGAGGGCGAGGCGTGCTGACACACACACACCGAGGTAGTCTGAGAGGCACTAGGTTATATACATACTAATAAGCACGGGAGAGATTTCAGAATGCATGGCTTTACATGGCGGCAGAGTTTAAACAAATTCGAGGCAACAACAGAAGGAGGCTCAAAGGTCACAGAGCTGAGAGCCTGGGTTTAATTCCAATTTGCCACCTGTGAATTGAACCAGGTTCTCAAGTGTAGCAAGTTGATTATCTCAGCTTGGTCATCGATTACTGGAACAAAAGCCCGTCACGTTCAATTTAGTTTTGCACATAATGCGGTTAGATACCAGCTCTGAGATTTGTAACAAAAAGACATCAAGTCCCTTTATCTCAAATGATGAACATTTATTTGTAGCAGGGCACGTTGGAAAGTGTGCCCCTTACTGTGTGAATCGTAAGTAACTGGAAGGGATCCTAGAAGTTGCAATTATGTCATTGTGCTTGGGAAAGTGCAGCATCGAGTAGTGTGGATTAGAAGTCGCTTGAATGAATCTCAGAAGTAATGATGTGATGCCACCTTTTGTGGGCCGCTCTCGAATGCACTGCCTTGTCAGGGTTCTGAATGGACCGTATTGTGGTACTGTACTCAGAGCACACCTGGAATACAATGGGGAACATTTACGACAAAACGGACACGCCAAGAGACATTAAGTAACACTTAGATGATCACCCAGTGAGTGACAGAGACAATGCAATTCGTTCCGAGAGATGCCACTGAGCACAAACGACATGGAAACACACCGTCGCACCTGCGAACATTGACAGGGATGCGAAGACAGCCGTAGATAATCCACTACATTGAGAGACCTGAAAAATTACACTGATTACATCAGCAGTCAAGGCCCTACGGCTGCAGTAATAAGGCAGCCGTAGATTCCAAACGACTGCAACAAAACACTTAACTGTGCTACCTGAACACTGGGGTAGACAATGGCTCAAGGAAACACGAACAGAACACATTCCTGCGGAGGGAGCTGGTAGGAACGTTGGGTTGCTCGGTCAATGGCCAGGGTCAACGGCGGCGTGGTGTATTCCGCAAATATGCCCGACTGTGAGGGCGGGCACAAGCCGGCGTGAGTAGGTTAAACATTGAGTTTTATATGGGCACCACGGGGTGACCAGCCCCTCCCCACCCAGCCCCACCCCTCCCACCCCCCACCCAGCCCCACCCTCCCCACCCAGCCCCTCCCTGCACGACGGACAGACGGACACAATAATCCCCTGTGGGCTGGTGTAACCAGAGGTTCCTACCAGTAAGACTCCCTTACAAGGGCCTCGAATAAAAGCCATCCAACAAAGGCGGTCACTCGCATCGTGCACTTTCAGATGCACTTCTGCGGCCGTTTGGAACGCTCTTCCTGGAGCTACGCACGTTTAAACCTAGATTGTAAACGAATTTATTATACAGAGCCGCCTTTTGTGTTTAGTTTGTTGTCCTTCCCCCGCACCTCCGATGTTAGCACGGTTGGCTACGTACGGTGCGAAAGAAGTTCAAAAACAACATAGATAATTCTTAAAACCATTCTGCTCAATCTACGGTACTAGCATACCGCACTCGTGCAGACCCATACACGTATCAACGTGCAGCACACAATAACACTCGCGCACAAACGCACTGACAGTGGCGTGCAAGCAGTGGCTTGCAGAAGAGTGTGCTCGGAGAACGAGTGAGAGATGCTCCCAATTTGTTAGGAGTCGCACAGAGAACGGTTGTAAATGGTTTATGCTAAATCACTGATTGCGTCCCAGGTGTGCTATTATTGAGTCACGTTGCTAAGTAAGCAGATGTATTATAATCAGAGCTCCCGTTAGAGTGCAGCGCAGGATGCCAGGAAACAACTCCACGTGATGCCGCTTTGGCACTCTGGGAGTCACTTCAAAGACTCGACTTGGCCAACGGTTGGACCGGCACTTTCACACATTCCGTGGAGAAGCTCAAAAATTCAGGCCAAAATGTCATTGATGATCAATTGATCAATCCCGGCGTCTGCTGTTTGACAGCCTCGTGACGGGAGTGAAAATTCCACATTTCCATGGTGGCGGCGGAGTCTATCAATAGGACAACCACGATTGCCTTCCACACAAATTGGTACTCAATTTTATTGGCACCAAAAGGACGATGGGCTGAATCAGCCCCACGCAGGAGTTTCACTCGCAGCCTTCCGATTGAGAGCCCCTTAGCGGGGTTCGCCACGTGTAGATCATGCAACAGCTTTATAGATAACAAAAAAAATAGTGCTCAGGGCACAACTAGACCAATTCAACTGAAATTTAAACAACAACAAAAAACATAACATACGTTCGAAGATGAGAGCCTAGGTTGAACGCAGGTGGCTGCCCATCATTGAACCTACGACCTGAACTTTTTTTTCTCGGCTCAGCGGCCGAACGTGGACATCAGTTCCGAGGATGCACACAGCGGCCCCCTCCACCCCCAGTGTGACCTTTAACATCATCCACACACTCCGCTTTCATGTCCACAAATAAAGATTGGAGATTTGCGAAAATGCATCTCAAAAGAAGACAGAGATGAAGCACGGGGCATTGGCAACGAAGAATAAGGACACGAAGGGAATTAGTATGACGAGAGAAGGAAATGGGAAATGAATGAGATTAGATGGGAAGTGAATTAGATTAATGCAGGCGCATACATCGCTCTGCGTATACAAATAGCACGTTGATAGCAGATGGATTGAAAGGCGTGGCTTGAGAGCAGATGGAGTCGATTGTTGGGAAAAACTCGGTAAAAATGCAACGTTGCAGCAGCAACGTTGACATGTGGTTGGAAATTAACCATCGTTGGCCCAACATTCCACGTTTACTGGGTAAGCAAATTGGAGAAAAGAAGATTTTTTTAGCAATCAAATCATGAAATTAAATGGTATATGCATAATCTGTATTCTATATTGCACGAGTCGTATTATTTGATTCCTTCACCAAACAAATCCATGTTGAAAACAAATATTGGCATATTTCGTTACTTTTGCAATATTAAAACTTGTGATCTATTGTATTCCTAAGCGAGGCAGTAGGTTTTATTTAATGAGTAATATGACACTTAACTTTTTGATGCAAATATTTCCCACGTGCATTATTGAAATCTCTTTTAAAAAATTAAGTCACAGCACCTCCACGCTCCACGCTCAAATGAGCGTGCATGTTCTGTGGCATTCAGTCGGCAATGAATCAGAATATTTATTGATACTGGAGGAATCCTATGAGCTGTGAAATTATTTTTCCCATATGTTGAGTAGGGGCAGGTCAGAACGCTAGAACAACAAACAATACAAACACACGATAAGAGTGCACAGTAAACAAATCAATTTAAAGATGTAAAAAAAATCTTGCTAGTTAAGGCCCACTGAGCCATTATCTTATTTTTTCAGAAGCGATCTGATCACAAATGATGACTCAACGAAGTGAAAATTCTACCTTCCTCGGGCAGGGGTTAGTTGATCCGTACGTAGCGCGAGCACTGGGTGGGTGTTGACGTCTCACAAGGCGGCGCGTATTGTGTGTCATGAAACCCGGAGGGATGATGAACTGAGCTAACCCCTGACCAAGATGTGAACCCGACATTTTACAATTACAGCCGTCCGGATGTGAGGCTATAGCTAAAAATAATACCGCGATGGAAATCGTAGAACTCTGAACGTCCGTTAGCCTGTAACCAAATTCACATTTTATCCCTCGGTAATGTCGTGCACTCAAAAGTAATTTCCTGCTCAAACGAGCCAGTGGTAAAAACAAATTCCACATTCTTATGACGGGGGCTATTACGTCTCTGCTGACTTGTGAAAGACAAAATAGCGATCTCATTCGTGAGCACACTTCTTTATGTTGAGCTTCTTTCGCACCGCACATAGCCAACCGTGCTAATCGGAGGTGCTTCTGCTGTGCTGCACTAACTGCAAAATCATCTTTAACGACCACAATACAAGCGCTCCCACTCAGTGGCAGGGAATAAAGGACTATTGATAATAAAGGTCTCGATGTAGTTTGCGTGGTGTTATTATCCCGGTTGTTTACTGATATGATCTGATGTGACTAAGTATGCTTTGCCTCCTGACATAACCCCGACAGCACAGTCATTATGAACAGAAATTGGTGAATGTACATTGTGTAATAATGCCTGATTTTTGTTTGTAGAACTGAATCTATAATACCGTATGCAGTCAACTAAAATATATGTATCTAACGATGCTGTCACGATTTTAGTCAGATTAATACAAGGTTAACTGTGACTTTCAAGATGTTAACAATATATTTTTTTATACAATTCAACTAAACTTAATCCTTTTTATTGTCTGCGTTGACCATATCCACACAAGCTCGGCAATTTAATTTGTACGTTGATTATTCTATTATGTACCCAGAATAGCGTAAATTTTGTTTTACATTTGATGAGCAGAACTGACGTACGTCGTGCATCATTCTCGGGTACAATCTCCCACAAGCCGTGTATTTGTTCAAACGAACCAAATTATTTTTTCACCCTGGGCCCTCCGTTCCTCAGTGGGGAGGATGTGCTGCTTCTAAGCCCTTGTTGTCCCTTTGTCCCTCTCCCCTCTGCCCCCCCCCCCCCATGCTTGACTTCGCAGTGCCGTGCAACTGGCAGCTGTCTGCCGGCGAGCCGGGCTACGTCATGTCTCCGGGCTACCCGCAGGACTACCCCGCGCACCTCATGTGCGAGTGGCTGGTCCAGGCTCCGCAGAGCGATCAGCGCATCATCCTCAACTTCAACCCGCACTTCGAGGTGGAGAGGACCAACGATTGCCGGTACCGTGTTGCAATCCTCAACAAATTTCACCGACAGGCACGCACACACTCACTTAAGTGCCGCGCGTCCAAGTCCACGGTCGAGACGATGGGGTTGACGGCTTCCCGAGGCACATTACCTTGCCCTCCCCAAAGAGGCGGCTACACAATTTGATTTCCTCGTCATTTGAAATTGATATTCCTAATGTGTGTTGACATTCATGCTATTTGTTGAAACTGGTCTGTAGCAAAGTTGTGGTCACCTTTCCAGACTCAATATCACTCGAATCAAATGACAGCCGGCCTTTGTCCAGGTGTTAAAAATTGCTTGGTGATCATATTTTGAAAACACATTCCCACCCTTTAATGGCAAAAGTTCAACTGTCTCATTTTGTTACAATTCCTTTCATCGGCCCTCTGATGATTGCAATGAATATACATTACACACTGGAGTGTACGTGACGATAACATTCCGCCGTGCAGAAGACCAGCATAACGCTAAGCGGTGGCTCGTCTCATCAAGGTCCAGTGTACACGAGGCCCCACGATTGCCCACCCGCTCGGGATAAAGATTATACACCGCATATTAGTACCAGGTGAAGGACAGTCACGCGAGGGTAAAGCTGCTCCTAACCGGATCTTAAGACTACGGTGCCGTGTGTGGAGGCAGCCTCTGGTAAACCCAAGGGCAGGCGATCGCAGACGGGCGCCACCACGTGCTGGGATGCCACCACACTGCGGCTCCTCGTGGCAGGGCAGGCAGGCAGGGGGTGGGCTCCTGCGGGCTCCTGCATGCCCCTCTATTGGGGCCGAGGTGGGGGGGTTATCTGGGCTGGAACCAGCCAGGGCACCCTTCACTGCTGTGCTCAAGCGTGTGCTTGTGAGTGACCGCACCGTATAGCCTGCAACAGACTGTAGAGAGGGGGGGCAAGTAGTTGTTCGTAGCGAGTAGCACCCATGAAGGCTGTCACGAAAAACGAGGGGGTGGGTGGCCAGCACTATGGCCAACCGCCTTTGTTTCCCTAGTGGCGATGCTTAATCATCTTATCTTATCTTGGATTTTACATAGCGCTTTTCCCGAAGCGCTTCGCACCCAAGTACAAATTTGAGGCTCAATCGACCTAGAGGAGGCCCAGCATCGGTTCAGATAATCGTTACTGGTGTTGGCAGTGAGTGAGAATCGAACTCGGTTCGCTGGCTTCGAAGCACATTGCGCTAACCGCTGCACCACCGCTCCCCACAAGGGTTACTGCACCACCCCCTTGCCCACACCCCCTCTCCCCCTCTCCACCTCCCTCTTCTCCTCCTTACCACCCCTACAGACTTCCGTGCCCCACCAGTATATTTACAGCACGGTATATTAGTCTGGAAATCCAACAGGCTAATGGACTAAATATATGCTTTACTGAGACTGCACGTGGAGTGACAGAACGGAGTTCTGGATTTGTTTTTACGCATGATGTGTGTATGTATTTTGCACTTCTTTTGCTGCCCCACGGCAACGCATGATGAGTTTGCTTACGGTGATTTGCGTTTCGCATTGAATGGGTTTCCCGTAGTTTATATGGAGTGCTCTTGCCAATAACGTCTGGTAAACCAGTAGCATTTCTTTAACGAGTCTGACTCGGCTGATGATATCCAAAAGGTTGAAACCGATAAAGGCTTTGCTGGCTCAAACAAATGTTGCTTGGGCTATGATGCTCTGGAAAGCCAATGTGGTGGTGGACTTAACATTGCCTGTATTTGTATGTGGAGAGATGCAATGGGGTTCCACATACGGTACTGCATCGTGGTTTTCGCCCAACGGGCCACACCACTGGTAAATTCGAATTCAAAGGCAAGGGCCTTCTCATGGCCAAAGAAGCGTGGGGCAGAGCTACAACTACATAGTGGGGGGTCCCAAAGCGAGCGGTGGACTCACACCTTCACCAGGAGGGTGCAGTGGCAGCCAATGTTGTACGTGAAGGACGCTGCTGGAATGTTTATCACTGCAACGGTATCCCAATTATCCATGGTCCAAATATGTCTGCAATCTGGATTACTTGGAGACAAACATTTGATGAGGGATAGTTTTAAATATCCCGATCCAAAAACGATTTTGCTACCACGGTGCTGCAAATATATGGTTCAAATTGGCTTCAATGATCCTCATTTGCTGGTGAAGTCCTCTGAATCGTAAAGTTGTGTCACTTTTGAATGAACTATAATCATAGGGTTGAAATGTACAATCTTGACAATAGAAAATCAGAGGCTTTTGTTACCACAAGTTGTGGATATACTTTTTTCTCCACCGCCAACGACCTCACCAAGGTTCTGCACTTTGCTACGAGCACATTTAAGTTGTCAGGTGACCGCACGCATTCCGCGAAACATTTATTTTTTCTTTTCACAATGAAAACGCTGTTTTCAAAATGCATCAAGTGAAGCATGCAAGCATGCAATTCCATGACCTCGTGAACAAAATTCTAAAAAAAATGGACAATTTACAATTTTAAGTAATTTCTTTTACTGAAAACACAAACATATCTTTTTTTGTTATCCACACAATATAAAACACGGAAGACTACTGTACTATTGAAACTTCAGTTGCAGAACATTTCATATCTATTTTGACAAATTGCTACTCTGCAATGTTGGATAATTTATCGGAGGCTACCAAAGGCAAGAGCGAATTCAGCTGGAATTTCACGTAAGCCCTTGGCCATGAAATTGGCACCACTCTTGCCTACTTCCCTTGAATTGCACAAAATATCGATAGCTCAGGATATTTTTTTGCGTTAAAAAGCGTGGAATATGGGTATTCTTCACGATTAATATCTCACTATAGTTTCTGCCAGAGTAAGGCAACTTCAGCCGTCTGTTGAGTTGTGTCTGCTATATAAAGAGTGTGTCTGAGACAGTGTCACGGTGATAATTGTTCGGCTTCAATGTAACAAATACCACCCAGTGTTGTTGTGAAATTCACTCCGTATTGGAAAGTTTGCTCATTTAAATCCCTGTCGGGGATTGACTCAGCCCTTTATTCCTCTGGGGATGACTTGACTTTGATCGATATACATAATAGGCTGACATCATCCCAGGTGTGGAGAATTTCCATAAACATCTTACAGATATAAAGGATAAAATATCGAGCGTACCAGGGTACCGTTCGAATAGCATCTCGCTATTTATTACACTGCAAATACGACGCTACATTAGGATAGTGCACGCTTCCACGGCGACTTGAACAGCGTTTTGAGAAACACAATTAATGCGGTTTGTGGGGCATGAGCATTTTAATGCTCAGCAAACGACACACGGGGACGTGCTCCTGTGCCCTCATGCACGTGCACTTGATGAACAATGCAGGTAGGAACTTCAGAGCCATTGCATGTCTCTCTCTCGACCTTCCTTAAGACAAGGTCATTTTGAACACCACGGCACAAAAGAGGGATGCATGCCGGGGCAAAATTTAATTTGCTGCGTTTGAAATAACACAAAAATTGTCCCTCAACACATTAGGTTCATGACATGAGAGAATATAAGGTGATTTGTTATAAATAAAACAATATCAAGAAACGCAGGACTTGCAAGTTATTGCAAGCGGTCGTTTTGTCAAGGCTCCGGTAACAATAACAAAATCATAAATCATTCTACACGAATTTAGGTGCTTTGGAGTTTTCCAAATATTAAGAAGTTGAATATGAAGAACATCTAAATGTTTTATTTTTTAACGTGCACCCCATTACACGTTCACATCATTAATGATAAGCTGTAGTGTATAAAAGGCAAACTGATTTTTATTTATTAAGTGTAACATCTCTAGTAGACACAGCATACGTGTGCGCGGAGAGGCAGGTCCCGCTGATGACCGCAACTGAAAAAACAAACACGGCCTGCAATTTTCTGCCAATTTGGTCCACTAACTCCTAACAACTGGCCAGCACCATCGTCAGCCACGCTCAAACCACTGCTGGATGAAGGCCTTACCAAGCTGTCACCCACCATCTCTCGCAAAATAACCCTGCTTGGATTGATCCATCCAGCACCTGCACACGAGCTCATTTCATCGCTCCATCTCCCCCGGTGAGACGCGCTCTCGGATGGGTTAAAAATTAGGCATGTAGAAGCAACATTTAAACACGCTTGGGGATTCATGTTCACCCACCCACCCCCTACCTCCTTCACCCCCCACTCCACATGGCATACAATATACACGCTGACACGAGCAACACGCGTGTGCACGCAAGTACGCGGCGGGCAGGGCACACGTGACGACATCGGCGAGCCGCGTGAAGGCAGTGGCGACATCACTTTGGGCAGCGCGTGTCCACCGCAGGAGAATTACCAGTAACAGTGAGCAGGCCAACTGGGAGCGGCGGTCATAGGCTGGCCCCGTGCAGCTGCCTGGCTGTTTTTGGCCACGGCACAGCTGTTTATAAAAAGTCTTTCATCACCTCCCCACTGTTTACAGAATGTGTAGTGAAAAAAAAAATTGATACGTCGCACAAATGGAACTACGCTCGACCGAAGTCGGTCCTGCGAATTGCCAACGAGATTGAGCCATTCAAATGAAAAACGTGATCGTCACAAAGGGAGCACAGTCTGGCCAGGGCTATCATTGCACGGGTGCCACTTTTCACGAATGTGAATTTCTTTTACCCAATAGTAAAACAAATACGTACATTAATATAGGCTATTCATTTTGATAGTCCGTTCCATTATTTCGCCACGCATGCTAAATTACCAAGGTGACTTTCGTGTCTACTTGGGTTAGGTCTGACGAATTCTATTTTCTTCCATTCTTGCATCTGATTGCAATATGCTCGAGAGCTAAATGCAAATGTCGAGGTCTGCTAACCAAGAGAGGGCTTCATCAGAGTTTGAGTAATTTTGCTGTTCCTCCTCCTCTTAGGTTTTTTCGGTAAAGTCACGTAGGTAAAAATAAATAATAAAATAATATTAATAATAATAGAAATAAAATAATAAATCACGACGTTTCGGAGGCAACACAAGTCTCCGTCATCAGGTGGGACCGTCAC